GTGTGGCTTGTTTTCGTGGCACTATTATAAGATGCAAATTCTTAAACAGTTGGCTATGTTCAGCGTCTTTACACTGAAAGGCTAAAGCATGCCTCTGGAAATCTTTATCCTCACTCACATCTGAAAGTTCAGAATTGCTTGTTAATGAACCATCTGGATATACATGGGTTGCTTCCAGTGTCAAAGAAATAGGCTCTTCTGAGCTGGAATGTGAGCAGATCTGTTCAGTAATTTGGTTAATTTGATAAGAATATTCAGAGGAGTATTCTGAATGGCTACTTACTAAATGATTTTCAAAACTGTGGATGTTTTTAGATTTATTCAGGTCTTTATTTTTCGCAGTAGATAATGGTGATTGCTTGAAACTTTTATAGCAAATATTGTCCTCTATTTTTATTTCTGAAGAAGGAACTTGTACTGCTTTGTGTTGCTTTGAAGGTAGAGGGTTACCATCTGATGACTGCTTCTGATGGAATTTATCAAAAGCACATGCTTCTTTCACTGTATAAATTATTTGTTCTTCAATGGAATTTTCAGTAAAGATCAGTTGAGGGATTGCTTTATTTAAACACAAATGGTCTCCATAAGAGCTACTGTATATGAATGGAACTATTTTGCTTGAAAAAGATTTCAGTGACTGGCCATTTGTATTATAGTTCTTACACTTGAAAAACAATATAGATTCCAGTGATAATTCTTCTTGCAATTTACTAGTGCACTCTACTTTTTCTCCTTGCAGCAAAGGATTGTCTTTGCAGAAACTTGTACTATCCACCTGGCTATTTTCCAATATAAGCACTATGCCATGGAATTTCTTTTCCCCTTTTTCTTTTTCAAACAAGCTGCATGAATCAAAACAGAAGTAATTTTCAGTGCTAGAGTCAGTCAAATCTAGGAAAAATAAAGGAAAAATACAGAAACGTTTGCTTTCCAATTGTTAACATTTGTCAAGATTAGAACAAAAATGTAAACAGCCTGGCTAAAAACAATAGATGTAGTAACTTAGAAAAAGCAGTGAAAATATCAAAGAGTTTCCTTGTTGTCTGGCATCTTTACCTTTGTTATATGTAACACTTTGTTCCAAACAATCAGAATAAAAATCACATTCACTTTCTGTGTCACAATCTGCCAAGTTTTTGCTGGACATAGCATCTGAAACAGAAATATAGTATGATATACATTTTATGATAAATCAAAATGAAATTTAAAATGTATTTGACAGTATTTCCATACTAAAAATCATATCTCAATATTGCAAAGAATTAATTTTAGTATCTGTTGTCCCATTTATATTTTTATTCATGTATTCACATAAATCAATAGATTGGATGTAATGAACTCATATAATTAATTTACTTACCGTACATATCACAATATATAAATTTAATTATAATGTTCCTAATATGTAAACAGAATCAGCAATTAATAATAATAATATTTTAAGAGATAGAAATATCCTATTTGTTAATACCATATGTAGGTTTATAACATATAAGGTTTATAACATATATGGTACTAAGTGGTTTATGTTTATTTATCTTTATACCATATAGAAGGATTTTGATATATTATCTATATAAGCTGATCTCTCTAAGAAGCAATAAATTAGAATACAATCCTATATTTTCTAAAGCATTCTTTGTTTTTGAATTGCTTTTCTGATGCTCCATATGTAAGTTTATCCTCTGAAAAAGAAACCACTTTGAATATCAGACTATTTTTAAATATTTCCAATTTTGAGATTTTCATGTCTTCCACAATTATTATTTTGCATAATGACAACTATTTCAGTGTCTCTTTAGAGTAGCTATCAACACGAGTGTCACTCCTTATGATTTCAAGTCCAATCTGTAAAACTTTTGCTTTTTCTATTCAATTGTTATCCTTATATCTTTATGCAATTATTTACATCTCCTTTTCTCATCTTGCTGTTCTCTCAAATTCAGTGTTCAATTGTCTTTTGCTTTTTGTCTTTCTTTAGTTGTTTTCAGGATATCAGTGAGCATCCCTTTTCCCTCTTTTGCTTTTCCCATTTTGGGAACATTGGGAACTTTAATGTCGCGATATTCAGTCTGGTGCTTTTTAGGTATTCTATTTATCAAATCTCATCTAATCCAATCTATTTAATCTGTAATTTTCACTGCATAACTATATAAAATGCTGCTGTTGTATCTTATTGCTTTCATGACTTTGTTTTCTTTAGTTAAGCCATAATTTTGCAAGATGTTTGCGACCCAAGCTGCAGTCATTCAGGCCATAATAAATGTGACATTGTTGGTGTTGTGTCAACACTGCATCAGAAGTCATCATAGAACATTGTTTCACTCTGAATCTGTGGTTGAAGTATAGATTCACATAACTGTAATATTGTAATGGATTTGAACAGAGATCAATCTATCCATTTTGGGGATGTATCCAAGCACACACTGGCATCCTTTTGTTAGTAATAATGGATACACCATTTCCTTGGTCTGCAGAAAAACTGATGCATCTCTGATGTGACATGATCCATTCTATTCCATTTTAGTTGCTGATACCCAGAATGTTAATGTTCCTCTTGACATTTCTGCTTTGATCACACAAGTTTGTCTTATTTCCTGGATTTGACATTCCACATACCGATGGTAAACATTTATATTAACAGTACAGTATTTAAGTCCCCTTTTGTCTCTGGCTACAACAGCGGCTGGATGTTCTTTCAGCTTTAATCCTGCTACATTAAAAGCACTAGTGCTTTTCATACTTGCTCTGTCTTCTCCCCCAATAGCTTTTTGGATATCTTCCAAACTGGGGGTGAGGAGTGTCGAATTTCAGCATCATGTCAACTTTATCCTGGCTGAGAGTATCTTTTTGGTTTTCTTGGCAGAATATTGGAGTGGGTTGCTATTTGTTTCTTAATAATTTCTCTCTTGGAACCTGGCGTGTTTTGGAGTGTTTACTTAATAACTAGATTGGTACTGTGAACTTAAAATTATGTTGTAATTATATATATATACACACTTCCCTGGAACTAAAGTTCATAGAAGAAATAATGCTTACTTTTGAATAGATATGTATAGGATCACACTATTAACTAATTTAAATAATTAAATATTTAAAATAAGTAGGCAAATATATATTTTATTGGACCAATTTAAATCAATAAACTAATATGGAAGATTTCATCAGCCTAAAGTGATCTAACAAAAATTGTTACTTTTTGATAGCACTTACTACATCAATTTGAACATTAAAGTCCAAAACAAACTGCATTTAAAAGACTGCTATCTGCAGGTTATTCTCAATTTTCTAGGAATCTACTTCTTTACATTCCTATTGGAAAATAATAAGCAAAATATTTTTTTTAAATGATAAGATTGCACTAATCTTAACACACTCCACAAATTTTGCTTGTTAATTACATTAAATGAATGTCCTATCTTGTTAAACTGTATTAATGATTTTTTCAACTGACAGAAACACAAACATGAAATGTTCTATTATTGATCGGTATCCTGCTTATATAGTCTGAAATTATAGTCTTCTCTTCTACAGGATGACAAAGGTACTGTAATACACATTATTGTCTGTAGACTTTAATTTGGGTCAATTAAAAATAATTTAAGACTGCCGTGTTGATTGGTTAGTCATAAGACAAGGCCACTGTTATGAGGATATAAAGGTAACAGGAGAGAAAAAGATGCTGCTGTGCCACGGTTCAATAAAAATTGAGAAATACCGAGTCTCTCAATTCCATTATTAATATACCAATTGTAAGTTAGCAAATCTTTGCAGGATGCCTTTCTGCTTACAAAACGTTTTTGCCCCATAGACTGTATAATTCGAATTTTACGCAGAAGAAACAAGAAGTAGGCATCAATATCAGGCTGAACTTCTCTTAGCTAGCTAGGGTCATGCCTACTCCGACCTGGATAAGACCCTGCCAGGGAAACCCAACAGGTGGGAAACTATGGAATTGTTTATTTTTGAAAGTGTCCAAAACAGTATTAAAAAGAGGACAAGAAGAAAGGGGGGAGGAGAGAAGGAGAAACAAGAATATTTTAAGTAAGGGCTATTTTCACACATAAGGTACATTTGTGATATGGATAAATAAGAGGGTTGTAGGAATGAATGCTTCCTTGGATAGTAAAAAAGAAAGAGCCTGGGGGCATATATACTGTTCCAGAAAAGCGGCTCTCCGTCGCGATGTTTGAACTTCACCTCAACCGTTTGGAGGACCCATGAAGGCCCCCTTGGAAAGTTTACTGCTGTTCGCCCTCCCTCCTTTCCGCAGCGGCCATCTCGTTCCACGACGGACGCCTGTCCTCTCACCCCTTCGCAGGGCGTCCCCTTCGCAGGTCTTCCGGCAGTTCATCCATGCAGGTTTGTTGTTGTTTCACCCCAAGGGCAGCAGACGTGATGTCAAGGGCACTGCCGAGTCCGACGCGTGACCTGCTCTGGACCCCTCTGTGACCGGACCCCTACATGGTGAGGTCACCTTTCCCGACATACAGCCGTCCTTGCAAGAAAGGCAGCAGCTCCCACAGACGGCTTCACGGTTGTAAAAATGGCCTGCAATACCATTTCCCCATCCCGTTATCTCGACTTCAGCCCCAGATTCCAGTCCCTCCCTCCTTTGCTCCGGACTGGCCATCATATACATTCAACATTCAAATATGGCGCCCGTAAACAAAACAACCCTCTACTGGAGAAACATGCATCAGGTAAAAGGGAGGAGGGGAAGGCGCCGGGACCCGCCTCCGAATTTGCAGAGGCTCCGCCTTTTCTCCTCGGCATTCGCCTTTTTTGTGTGAGCGTGCTTTTCCGATATGATTACACTCCTGTCAATCAGTGCAAAGGGCACTGGTGTTCGTGGATAGGCTGGAAGAGTAGCCAATCTGCGAGGGCCTGTCTGAGCGGACATAGTTGTGGATTCCGGTCAGAGTGGTCTCAGGTACCGTGGTGGGCAGGTGGGGTGCCTGGGCGGCGGGATATATGTCTTCTGTCTTTCAATGGTTGCGTAGAAATTTAAATCCGCGGAACGGGCGCGGTGTGTTAGTGAGTATCAGTGCTCTGAGCCGAGGATGTAGCGACCGGCGCCTTTCCTCACCCACTGGAAGGGAGAAATGGGAGGACCCAGTGGTGCCCATTAACCCACAGCCTTTCTCAGGTGACAAAACGAGGGGTGCGGGACTATTGAGGGCAGAAGGACGCAGAGCAGCGCTTGTCCTTTCTGACAATGAATCGGGATGGGCGGGTGTCTGAAGAGTTAAGCCTCTGCCGAGGGGGCTTCGGGAAACAGAAGTGGACCGGGGCCAAAGCTAGCCAGTATCTGGGGTGCAGATGTCAATCATGGAAGACAAACCTGGCTTTAGAGTTTTTAAAAACTACCATAACGGAACTGTCAATTCATCATGATGGGAAGGAAGGCACTTCAGGTCCACAGGTTCCCGACTGAGAATGGGGGGAGCGCTATTCTAAAAGATGCGGAAAAGAGTGATTAAAAACACTTATTAACTAGAGACAGGCCATAGATGATTCAGCATTTGCTTACCGACAATTGAGATGTTCCCCCTCCTTTTTTTGCTTTCGTTTATTTTAATTGGTGTTAAAACAATACTAGTGTGTTTCACAAACAATTGAATTTTTTCTTCCATGGTATCAGTCGCAGATATTTGATATTATGTTAATAAATGGAATTGGTCTTGTATTTTTTTTCACACTTCCTTTGTAACAGAATGAAAATGAATTATTGCAATGTGTGTTGTTGGAAGAAATGTCCTTCTGGGTTCAGTTCTAAGTGTGGAAAAAGACACTGGAAACATGGAGGCTGCTTAGAAAGATGGTTTAATGATGGACAGGACCACATGGCTTGAGGTCCTGGGGGAAAAGGTGATCACATGCTTCCAGGTGTTGGTGAAGAAGAGAGCGAGAGGAGGGGCTTGCTAGGTTTTTTAATACTCTGTTCGGCCCCACCTCTCTGCTTCCTGTTCCTGTGTAAGAAATGTATTCTGACTGGTTGTCAGACTCCCATGGGGCCATGCAGGGGCAACTCTCTAGGCTGAGTCCAGGTGTGGTTGAGTTCTCACATGCCATGTAGTAATACTAGCATGGGCTAATACTAGCATGCCTTGATTCCATCACCCCAGAACTGAAGGGGGGAACTCTTTATTATGTAAAGGGACTGGCTTGGGCATCTTAATGGCCCATTAACAAAGGGGGATAGGCAGGAAGCTGCAGGGAGCTACTTTGTCATTAAAACATGTTTCTCCCTTTTCACATCCAGGGAAATGTAATATTCTGCCTTTTCAGTATTTCTTAGGATATTTCATTTTCTAGGAGAGAGATGGGTTTTAACTTATTACAGTGTAGCTATCCAGATTTCTTCCAATAAGGCATAAGGTTGCAAGTTATAATAGGTACTTTACTAACCTGATAAAGTTGTTTATACTTGTTCAAGTAAGTAACTTAAATTCTTTCTAAAGTAACTCAATATTATCGAGTGGTTACATTACTTAGCATAAAGTTCCCTTTTAACAAACTACTTCCATTAGTCTGGGTTTCTGTTTAAAAGATTTAATCGCTGTTCTGACATAAACTGTCAAGATCCATACCTATAGAGATTCATTATTGTACTTACTGGCTCATGGAGATATGCCTCATAATTATTGTTAATAGATTAAACATTGTTAATAGATTACTGCTTTGCCCAGAGGAATAACTGCCAGATGAACTTTGTTATTACACTAAAAATAATCAGAAATTGGGGATTTCCCCTAAAAAAGATATTCAGTTGATGCATTTTTTCTAGCATGATTGTTAATAGGATGTTTCTGTATCTCACAAATAGAGATACGTGAAAAAATGTACTGTTGGAGCTCAGATGCAGGTTACATAGGCACAGACATTGTTACAAAAGGCAGCATAAATTGATGACTATGTGAAATCTATACTAACAAAGAGGAAAGTTCTGGGGATGGAGAGAATATAATGATACTTCAATAGTGTATTCTACTCATTCTGTTGTCTAGTAGTCATGAAAATCTGATTTTTATCTACAATACTATTTCATTTTGAAGTGCTTCATAACTATGTATTTAGGAATCATTTAGTATATTTCTGTAAAACAATGTTTCTCTTGTGTATGTATGTGCCTGTGTGTAATTGGAAGGAAAATTGCTATCTATGCCACCCATGAATTTTGTAATTCATTTGTTTTTACATTTACTTCAGTAAAAATAATCAGATTTAAAGATCAGCCTCTTAACTCTCTGTGAACTTATATCTTGGATCTGAGAGTTAGATATGTACTCTCATGTCTTTAATCAAGTGTGAAGTTCACTAAAAGACTTTAGATTCTCCTGTATAAAGTACCACTATATTTTTGGGGGGATGTATTCCCAGGTATATATTAGATAGATGGTGTGTTTTTAGGACTAAGTTACATAATTATATCTATGAATCAGATCAACTTCTTGGTGATGGCTCAACCTATAGAAATTCATTCTAACACATTGTGCAAATTTTAAACCAATCTTTAAAATTTGATTATGTTCCCATCTGCCTTTTGCTAACCATTTGCATTGTTAAATATCGAGCTTCTGAACTTTTTAAATGTGTTATACAGTTTAATATTACATGATTTCACCCTGGATTTTTAATTAATTACAGTATGATGTTTTTAATGGATATTGAATCTTGTTTTTCTAATACACATCATCTTGGTGGGGTGTGTGTGTATAAAATAATATTTTAAGAATTTTATTGTATCTTTTTCAGTCTTTGCAATGACTACGCTTTGGAAAGATATTTTGCAAAATGTGCAGCTCATTCAATATGTGGCTCCTATTGCAATAGACGTAGCATTACTTGAAGGTGTTCTAATGAGGACTAAAGATGACCCCAATGCTTCTGATGTAAGTTCAAAACTAGAATTCATGTTGCAAAATCTTTGTAATACCATGTACCTACTTGACAGATCTTAAAACAAGTATTTATTTTATTGTATAGCAATATTGTAGTATTACTCAGCAGTTATTTAACTATATCTATACCCCCTACAACTTTATTAATTATACATCCTTTATTACTGGATTGATTTTTACTTGTTTGTTCTATAGAAAACATATCTATTTTACATTTGTTATATATACTGCTCATTTTCCACTATTATTTTATATACTTTCAAACCTTAATGGGTAGATAATATACTGGTCAGTGAAGATAGCTGACAATTATCTGCATGTAAAGCAAAGTTCTCAGTAAGTTGTCTACATGTGATAATTTTTTTCATGTATGGTACCATTAACGAATCTGACCGCATGTAGTGATCCAATGCGTGCAAGCAGGCCACAGTGACACAACATACATCGAAAGCTTTGTTTCTTTTATTTGCTTTCATTTTCCTTTCCTTTGTAGCTACATTATTTAGGGAACACTTGTTTCCATTAAAGCTCAGCTTCTGAAAGTACTGTACATAATGCTGTCAATATAATTCTGCTATAATGATATTAAGTTTCCTCCCCTACATACTTCCAGTATGCTTTCAAGATTAGAAAGAGCTCCATTTCATTACTTGTTCAAAGTGTTCAAAGGCAGCATATTCATTGTTTTTCCTTGTTTTAACAGGTTGTGAATTTTGCACCTTTTACACTGTTCCCATCTCCAGTACCAGCAAGTCTGCTTGAACAAGCCTATTCCGTTCAACAAGATTTTAACCTCCTAGTGGATAAAGTTAGCCAGGATACAGAATTTCTAGAGTGCACTCTTGCCAGGTTTGTCTGCCCATCGCATATTAAGAAAAATAGTGTTTCGGTTGCAATTTTCATAGTTGCTGGATGAGTAATCCTCAGTTAACAACTTCCCGGTATAGTGACTTTTCAAATTTACGAGTGCTGGAAAAGTAGCTTTACATATGGTCCTTGAGGTTACAACTGTTCCAGTGCCCCGTGGTCAGGTGATTTTGATTTAGGTGCTTTTAAACTGGCACGTGTTTACCATTTGCAAGCTTCACAGCCAACTTCTGACAAGCAAAATCAATGGAGAGAAGCCAGCAGTTGCAAGTCATGATCACATATTATTTTTAATGATTGCAGATGAATTACAGCTGCAGTGGAACTGATCTCATAAGTCAGGCACAGTCACATGATGCCTCATTTAATGACCATATGTTGCTTAGCAACTCAGTTGTGGGTTCTAATTAATTATGGCTATTAAGTGAGGACAACTTATATTAAAATTGATTTAGTGGAATGTGGAAGGAACATTCATATATTCTTCCTCATTGCTCACCATCAGGCTACTCTCTCTGCCTATTTTATTCCTGTGATATTTGTCTAATTGTTTGCAAAACTAAGGAAACATGTTATGAATGTAGTTCTAAGTAAATAATATCAACTAGCATTTCATTTCATCTTATGTTATGTTTAAGCACTATATATATATTATAGATTCCAAGATCGCTATACACTGTCACCTGAATGGTCTTGTGATTCTTGTGGTTACATGACAGTTGGAAATACATAATGTGAATTCCCAGGCATTATGTTTTTGCTGAAAATTCATGTGTACATTTTGAGGGGATTTTTTTTTTACACATAAATTTTTTGCACATAAGTTGCTGTAGGTCCAAATAGCATCAGAAATATGAAAAACTGGATTTTTAAGATAAATAACAGCTGCATTATGCAGCAAACTGAGGAAAAGCTGATGAAAAAAAATCTTCCTAGTAATAAATCTTATTTTCCTAATATGGTATAAATTCTTTTCCTGATAAGCTATTTTATGTAATGAACAACTTTGCTCCACAAATATATTAGAAAAAGGTATGGAGGAAAAAACATCACTCTAAATTATTTGGTCTAATATTTGGATTTCTCTGTCCCTTGTATTTTTATAATTCCTTAACTTGTGAAGAATTCTAGGGAACTGAAAATTTCAATGTTACTTTGTGTCTTTTTTATACATTCTACATATGATCTCTGTTTTCTACTTCTTCCTAGTATCCTTAAAGTGGATGACTTTACAGCTCAACTGTTTAAAATTTACAAGCAGGTTTTGGATGAAGGAATTGCTCAGGTATTTCATAAAAACGATTAAAGCGGCTGATTTATTTCTAATACGTCATCCTTATAGCATTAAACTTAAAAATATCAATAATAATGATGACTTACCCCAACGCCACCCAGAGTTTATTGTGAAATGAGCAGCTACATAAATAAGAGGAATAAATGAATGTTTTATCCACTTACTAAATACAATCTTGGACCTCAAGGAAATCTAACCCTAGATTACTGCCCTACTAGCATTTTTTTTTTTTTTGCCTTGACAGATAGTCCTCATGTAACATAAACCTAACATTTCCATTTCGCATAAATCAGTCTGGAGCATGGTGACTCGCGTGGTTAGTATTTTGGGTTGGAGGTTAGCAAACCCCCTTCCTTCACGCCAGCTCCTGCTGGGGACATGAAAGGAGCCCTCAACTGGGCACTGCCCAGGCAACGGTAATGTCACCGGCTAATCCTTTCCACCTGGAAGTGCCTCGGAGTTCTGACACGAGTTCAGTAAATCAACCTAAAGCTTATCCTCACATGAAAATAAAACCAAGTTGTCAAAAATCCCTAACTGTGACCCTAATTTCTCCTACCCCTGCCAATACGGAATTTTAACTTACAAATTTTACTAGTAAGCAGCTCCTAAACATAACTGTAATACTTCTACATTCACTCAAAAAGTAACCTTCACATTTAATGTAAGTGTAAAGCAAAAAAGAAACCTAACCCTAATTCTAGGGGAAAGTACCCTAAACGTTATCTTGTCAGGCAATCCCTATCATAACAGAGGACAGGTAGTCCTCGCTTAAAAATAGTAATTCCTGCTGCAAAGTTAGGCAGTCATAAAGCATGACCTTACATGACTATGCCACGTAGTGATTGCAGTTCTGACTGTTTCCAATTAGCATTAAGTGAATCACAGACAATTAAATGAGGACCTCATAAGATTGCAACTTCTGATTTCCTACCAACTTCCCCAATGACTTTGCTTGTGAGAAGCCAGAAGGGAAGGTTCCAAAATTACAGTCAAATGACCACAGGAGTACTGCAATGGCTAGAACTTTCAAGGACCAATCATAAGTAACATTCGTTCAGCATTGTCATAAGTTTGCTCACTGAACAAGTGGTTGCTAACTGAGGATCGTCTGAACCACTAAGTTATTGAAACAAGTTATCCTATATAATTCTGACTACCATTTACCCTAAATACTTACAATAAAACTAGCATACATGCTGAATCAGAGACCAATTTAAAACTTCAGCAAATGATAAATGGCTGCTTATCCTGGTGATTTCAGTCTGCATTTCCTGGGAGGGGATCTGATGTGGCTCAGAAATTCCGAGCATCCATGCCCGGTTTGGATTATCCCAAGTGATCCAGAACCTGACACAAGATAGCGGTCACATACCCAATCCGGTTTTCCTATCAAAGCAGTGGGAAAGTGATCTAAAATTTGGAGAGTCTCACAGTTGCTGATGCACTAGTCAACTCCCATATGGATTATGACAATGTGCTGTACAAAGCAGTATAACCGTTTATATCAGCCAATCCCATGGACCCCTAACCCTAAACCTTCATCCTAATACCATTAGAAAAGCTCTCCTTTAAAACTTCCCTTGCCAGTCAGTTCCAATGGAAACATGAACCTAGTACCAGAACTGCTATCATATGGATTATATTATGGTTAAGTGCTCAATGCAATGTGAATAAATTGATGTTCGATGAATAATAATGCACAATAAATGTCCTTTTGGAATACTTGGAACACTTGTCACTATAGCTTCTGCTATAGTGGCAACTTTCTGTCTTAACTTCTATTTCTATCTTACTTAGTCATTGGTTTTAGGAATCAATCGCTCTGATTACATGTTTGACTATGGGGCAGATGGTTCTCCAGCTCTAAAACAAGTAGAGATAAACACCATTGCTGCAAGCTTTGGAGGCCTCACATCTCGAACCACTACAGTACACCGGTAAGGTTGCCATGCAAACTTGCATTCTTTCACTGTGTATGATTTTAGCACAGCAAAGTTGACCGGAATTCTGCTTTGCTTTGCTTGCTTGTTAAAATTTATTCAGGGCTATTTCTATTCTGTAATAGGGATGGCTTAAAGCTATGTAAAATGCTGAAGATTTGCCCTTCACCTTGTGGATTTCATCCAGCAAGTTTTCAATTCTTATTTTAAAGCTACTTAAAAATATCATGTACCACTAAGTTTTTGGCTGGCTCAGATAGAGCAGAAGTGCATGGGAAAAGCATAGTCGAAATGCCTTAGTCAAGGTCCATCTGAGAATGTAAGTTACCTATATCCACCCTCTGAATCATCATGCCCCTCAAGATGAGATCCACTCCTATCTTCTTGGCTTGAAAAAAGCCTCAAAACCTGGCTCTGCCATTTGGCTTGGGGCTCTGAAGAGGTTGTTAATTTTTTGTACTTGCTTTTTGATATTGTGAGCTACCCAGAATCACTTGACAGAGAGATGAGTGGTAGATAAATGGAATAAATAAATAAATAAAAACTTGAATTCAAAGCTGCCACCTTCTCATCTACACAACAACCTGCTTATGAGCTCATTGCTCATCCAATATATTAAGCGCCATGGCAAAGGTCCTTTCTCTTGGTATATTCCCACTGCAAGTGCAAAGGCATCAGAGGAAATTCTGAATCCTTCTAATGATCGATATCATAAATGATTCTCTATGCTTGCTTCTTTTTATTAAAAATAAAAAAACAGATTCTTCATCTGAATTTTGCCTTGAATTATTGTTGCTGTGCTTGTAAGGTGCAATTATAAAAGACAGACAGTTTCAATACAATAGAGTATAAGTAGCTCAGGCTTAAACTATGGAGTCCTTGGTGCTCTCTGAAGTTGGTTTTGTGCTTGGAGATGTTTCATTGTCCAACTAGATAAAATCAGAGTGAGTGAGTGAGTTTGTTTTCTGTTTATATACTGTAGCTTGCCCTGCCATTTTGGTGGGTTGTGGTTTTCTTCTTAATAAAACATGTTGCAAGTTCAGAATGTATTTTATAATGACATTTATTAATGGAAACCTTGAATAAATTGATGCTTTGACTACAAAATATATGGCAATGATAATCTTTCCATGCTTGCTTTAATTTTGCAAGTGAAAATATTTTGTATATATGTGCATTACTCATGAAGGGCTTTTACAGTGTGTGTTTCAAAAAGTGTTTATGTCTTTTATCTCTCTAATAGCTTTGTCCTGGCAGTTGTGTATTCTCAATCTTTATGAATTCTGTATCTATGTATCCCAATCATAGGCATGTGCTGAATGTTTTGGGGAAATCAAAGGAAGCCTCAAAATTGCTTTCCAATAATCCATCGAAAGGAATTGCCATGGGCATTGCAAGAGCTTGGGAACTCTATGGCTCAGATAAGTAAGATAAGCAGCCTATAAAATATCTGCATAGCTGTGCATGTTATTTTTATGAATACCATATTTTTGGAGTATAAGATGCACTGGAGTATAAGGCGCACCAAGGTTTTGAAGAGGCAAATTTTTTTAAAAAATTTTTTGCACTCTGCAGACCTCCCAAAAACAGCCCATTTTTCACGAAAATGGACCTGTTTTTTTTTTAAAGGGGCATGAATAGCCTTTAGGAGGCTTGTAGAATGCTCCTGAGAGGAGAGCAAAAACGAGCAAAAAACGCCCCATTTTTCATGAAAACAGGGCCAGTTTTTGTCCAAAAAAAGGGCATGCATGGCCATATGGAGGTTTATAGAGTGCTCCTGGGGACTCAGGGGGCAAAATTGAGCAAAAAACTGGTCCGTTTTTCGCTCTATTTCTGCCCTCCCCAGGAGCACTCTGAAAGCCTCCAAAAGGCTATGCACAACCATTTTGGTGAAGGGGGCAGGGTTTCAGGAGACAAAAAATGCGGTATTCAGTGTATAACACGCACCCAGATTTTCAGCCCCTTTTTTGAGAGAAAAAGGTGCACCTCATACTCCAAAAAATACGATAAGTGATGCCCTGTGACAGAGAAGGCATGCTTCGCGTAGGTTTAATTGAAGGAACATTGAAGCACACCCATTCTGCCTAATCTCATCAGATGGGCAGAAACCATTGGAGGAATTGGCAACTCCTCAAATAACCTGGCCCTATGTCATGAAAGGCTTTATAATTGTATCTGGATGCCATCTAGTAACAGTGTAGTTTGCAAATCAGTAAATGTCAACTGCTTTGGGCGTATCATAGCTTACTAATTACTGCCAACCTTGCCATATTTTGGATCAGCTGCAGCCTCCACATGACCTTCAAGGGTAGCCCCATTTAGGATGCATTTCAATAATCCATGAATAGTAGTAGTAGTGATCTTTGAAACCACGATTGAAGGCAATAAGAGACAGCAAGTAGAATATTAGTAGAACAGTAACAGAAGACTATGCCTGGAGCTTCAAAAAAATCAGTGGAAATAAGCAGGAAGTGGAGCGAGGCCATGCAATATTTATTGTATTATATGTAAAGGATGGACAACCATATTGTAAGCAAAGAGACAAATAGACCATCCCAAACACCCCAGAGGATTGCATAAAGACTGAGGTTATGTATACATAAGTATACAAAGAGGAGATTATTTTTGTAGATTGTTTTTTATGGGTGGCAAAAACAATTTTAAAAGATTGAGGACTAGAAGAAATATGAGACTGATAATACTCGGAGGATGAGACACATTATTTTTAAGGAAAATTAATGTATTACGTCTAGCTTATCTTTAATGCATCTGTTTTCTTATATTTACTTTTTTTTAAGAGCATAAAAATTGCACTGCTTCTAGGAACATAGCACTGGATTTGTAGCACATTTTGCCTTTATATTCTTGCAGATTGCCAATCCGTTTCTGGGTGTTGCACAACATATAATAAACACTGAATAATGTATTTCAAAATTAGAATACTTTAATTACTGCAATTACTACATAATATATTTTTTATTTCAGAGCAGTGGTGATGTTTCTGGTTGAAGAGGCTCAGAGAAATATTTTTGACCAACGTTGTATAGAAAATGAACTATGGATAAGGTAACAGTCTCATATAGTTAGGATTATTATGCTATTCAGTAGTGCTGGGCAAAATATCTTAAGCTGAATGTTTCAAATTTGAAATAGGTATTTTGAGTTTGAAACAGAATTCCTTTTTCTGATCTAGAAACACTTTTTAAATTTTTTTTTTTTTTTTTTTTTTAGTGATTTTATTGACATTTGTAGGCCGCCCTTTTCCCTGAGGGGACTCAGGGCGGCTCACATAAAATCGGGGAAGGGGAAATACAGACAATAACAAAGACACATATAATAAAAACAGTAACCACATGCATTCATCATTCGGGAGGGGCAACTATCTTCATCCCCAGGCCTGACGGGCTAGCCAGTTCTTCAAGGCTGTGCGGCCTAAAATTCCCCAAACATTCCTGCTTTGTACTTGAAATAGCTGTTTTACACTTAAGGTGGAAATGCTTTTTGCAATTGAAATGGTGTATTTCAAGTCTGAATGCTTTATATATATCTGCTGTTAAATTCATTCTGTGAGAGCTTACACCATTTATATTTGGTTCCTTAAAATATATTTTGAAGATAAATGTTCAAAATTTAAAATTATTAAAACAAGGCTTAGAAACTCATAGCTTCGTGCAACTTCTAAACCTTGTTTTTTTTAAGCGCCAGGAATTATGTTATGAAATGAGGGAAATAATCCACTAAGTAACAAACTTTAAAAAATAAAATAAAAAGGGCAACAACCAATATCCTTCTCTTCCAAAATCTCAGGCACATTCCTTTTAATAACTTTACTGTCTTATACGTAACAGCTCTCTGCTATCCAAAGTAATAATAATAAAAGTATGGTGTATGAACAAGGCCATTCAGTTTCTTGTGAAAAATACAAACATGGTTTGCTCTCATCATCTTCCTTGATTTTGGAATGTTGAGTTGATATGCAGTCCCAGAATTTTAACTGTTTTCTGTCCTGGGAGATTCTCACTTCATTGCAAAGAGCAGTTTCATTTTCCAGCTTGAATTCTGCTAGCTATTTGTTTTTGTCTGCAAAGATTTTTAATTTTTTTTCCTGTTTCAAAAGTACAAAAAAATGTATGCTTTGTGATGATAATGCATATAGATTTTATTAATAAAGAAAGGGAGATGACAATGTATGATATTTCTCAGCTACCAGGACCTCCAAAATCAAATATAGTAGCTGAACATAGCCATTGGGACATTAGTGCTGCCACATGGCCATGTAACTTCCTCCTCAGCAGCTGTGGCTCAGGATTTAACCAAAACATTGTTTTATATTAGTCCAGTTTACATTGGATGCCTACTACAGAAAATAATAGTCATCTGAAGTTTAGAAGAAAAGCATATCAGTGTTCTACATCTTAAGATAATATTGTCAACTAATGTTATGATCAACATGTCAGAGTCAACCTACACTGCTAGAGTTGCCTGGCCAAACTCATCCTAATCCTATGTGAAATTTTTCCAAGTAAGTAAAAAGATTGTGAACTCTGGCCAAAGAAAAGCTATTTCATTAATCCAGGCCAAATGAAACTTAACCCAATAATAGGCATATCTGTATGTTATCAAATGAAACATATTAGTAATCAATAGATTAGATAATAGATTTGTGTTATGAAGAGGCACTCTGTCTCTCCTCGTAATACAAATGTCTTTTCTTTGATGTTCCCACTATGTCCCATTAATTCTAAAAGATAAATGGGGTCAGATTTACCTTTACAGAAGCTGTTCTGATTCTTCATCAGCAATCTTGTCTTTTGGTATGGGTACTTAGGTGAGGAAAACATGTTATCTTTTCCACATAAAATGGAAGCCCTTGATTTCTGTTTAAAATTCCAGTTCTTCTTGTCTTTCTTGCACCCTAAGGAATATCAAGGTGATCCGAAAAAGTTTTAAAGATGTGTTTGAAAAAGCATCTTTGGACAGTGAAAAGAAACTGTATATGTAAGTAGCACCCATAGGTCTGCCACTGAATTTTGTTAAACCCTAGTGGTAATACAATATATTAATTATCTTAGGTGGAAAATTATCTTGCCTACATCCAGCCTCTAATGGCATTTTAGAAAAGCTTTGTTGAATCAAGGCCACAACATATTAGCCTGTTTTTAACTGACATTTTCCATAGCTTGAGAAGGCCAGTTTCTTTGCAGTGTCTCACCTTCCAAAGATCTTTCCTCAACATGGAAAGCAGTTTTTTGCGGTTGGCACAGAGCAGTAACTATCAGCCAGATAACATGTTTAATAGTATCCCTCATAGGAACAGATGGTGATTTCCCAATTCTTTCTCCCAGCAACATAGAATAGAAAGGATTAAGCAAAATATTTTGTTAAACAAGGATTAAACTAAAATTTTAGATTATTAGGGCATGGATAGCTCATATGTGAGCTTAATTTTCATGTATCTGTAGTCTTTGAGCATAAAAATATTTATGTTGCATTTGTTAAAAAATAATGTCAGGTATTTGGAAATGTTCACATCACATTCACCAGAATATAAATCAAAAATTATTTTTAACTGGATATGTGAAATAAAATTTTAAATAAGTAACTAATGAATGGCTAAATTAGTACTGGTGGAAATAGAGTTCATTCAAGGATTTAAGTGATTGATATCCTGGTTACTATTAAAGCAGTTTCAGTTACTTAATACATCTAGTTGTACCCTAATTCCCTGAAAGGTTGGACATCAGTTATATTTATCAGTAGAACTATAAAAGAATGATCTGTTTGATAACACTGATTTTACAATATTTCAGTAACTGAATGTAATGTTTTTGAAGATGTAATCAAAGCATTCAAAATGAATAGAAATCTACTTTGCAGTAATGGAATGTATTGCACATTTTTTGTGTGGGTGAGAGAGGGTGGGGTGGGGGAGAGAAGCTTGAGTAATGGAGGGCTTAAAAATGGAGCAAAGTACTTATATATTTTGTTCTGTTTCAGAGATGGGGAGGAAGTAGCAGTGGTATATTACAGGGAAGGCTATATGCCAGGAAGTTATAATGAACAGGTTAGTACCGTAATGATCTTTGGCAGCTAGGCATAAGGTATATAATTTATTTTAAGGACCATTTAGACAATTATCACATATTTCAGGATGAACTGCAACAATACCAATCATAATAATTAAATAGAAGTAATGCAGAAGTTTTGTATACATTAAAATGAAATTATTCTAAACAGAGTTGGGACCATGAGCTATGAAATAAACTCACTGAAAATTATTCAGTTCTTCCTGTGATAGTTGCTGTCTTTTTCTAAATTAATTTCAATAGTTCATTGCCATTTCAAAAAACATTGCTAGAATGCTCATATGACTTTCTAAATTATTCATAAAACAATGAGAAAAGTTCTGAAGTGATTTCAATTGGAAGAGGGGAGGAGGAATTTTTAAGTTTAATAGCAGGGTACTTTTGACTGACATGTCAAATGCAGGCTGGCTATTTCAGTGGATAAAGAGATATTTTTAGGAGGATGAAGGTTCGTTCTCACGAGCTTGGAGAACGAACCTCCACTCTTATCCTTCACCCAAACTACAGATATTTGCGACTATTGCAAATATCTATTTTATGTATATCTTTTGCTAATATTCAGGTAGCCAGAGGGTTATCTGTTTCTTTTCACCTAATTAAACAGTAATAATATATACATAATTTTATCAGTTTTTATACTAAAAGATTCTGTAGAGATGTGCTAATTTTTCTTACTTAGTTTATTGCAGGAGATGCAGATGCAAGGGGGAGAAGGAACATATACGTTTCCTCAGCTGCATGATATAACAACCATTGTACAATGTCTTAAATACTATATGTTACAAAAGCATCTGCAGTGAGATACCTTGTTTGTTTTAAGAACTGGGAGGCACGGTTATTGCTGGAAAAGTCCAGAGCAGTTAAGTGTCCTGATATAGCTACACAGCTGGTTGGAACCAAAAAAGTTCAGCAGGAGCTCAGCCGACCAGGAATCCTGGAAAGATTCTTGCCCAGTGAACCAGAAGCAGTGGCTCGATTGAGAGCAACATTCACAGGTCTCTACTCCTTGGAAATGGTAAGTAACAATATGTTGTCGGACTTGGAGATTTAATATATGCAATGCAGTACAAAATTGGAGAGCACAGTAGCAATAATACATACTATATAAAGTATATACCATTAATAAAATCTTTTGGTAAATTGGGAATCTTATTTTTTGTCTTAGGGCTATTATGTATGTTTAAAACGTACTAGAATTTTGTTGTTAAAAACCAAAGTTAAGCATTTGCTATGGCTACTTTGCAACAGTCTTCTTTTTCTCAAGGATGAAGAAGGTGATAAGATGGTTGCCACAGCTATTGCTGACCCAGACCGATTTGTGTTAAAACCACAAAGAGAAGGAGGAGGTAATTATTTGCTGGGCTTGTATAATGAAAGTTCTAATAATTTATTTTTTAATCATAATGTTTTGGTTCTAAAACCACTCAGCCACTTAAATCATCAGATATCTAAGTTAAGAGTTGACCAGTAGTGGTTTAAATATGTTCAGAATCAGAATTTCAGCTCCAAAATCTAATAATTAATTTTAAAAATCTGTAATATCTTCATTGCAAATAACAAAAGTCTGAAACAGAATCACTTTCAGATACATAAATTCTACAATAGCAGAACAGTAGAGCTATTTAGGCATTCAGCTTAAAAGTCACATAAACTTCATTTATGCCATGTTTACGATAGAAAGTGTTCTGTAATCAATGTGCATATATGCAAATATCTGAAGAGAGCCTTCACATACACAACTACACATACACAATGCAGAAAAGTTCATTATATGCACATCTTTTTCAGCAAACCAATAGCAGGGGTATGGATGTTAGCTTTCATTGTCTGTTATCTGTTAATACAGTGTATTTGTATAGTTTGTTTTAAAGTTATAGTTTATTTGTACAATTTCAGTTAATTAAACTCCTGAATAGGGCTAATATTAAGTAGAAAATCTTGAGTAATTTATCAATTTTTAATATTTTATAATACTTAACAGTCACAATTATCTCCGACTGGTGATTCTAAAAACTTCCAAAGAATGAGAATGTTGCTTGCTGATAGTTTAAGTAAAAGATAATTCTGCTGGAAGAATTTAGTTATTCCATAATCACTGCTTATCTGCAGTCTTGTCTAAAATACTTAATATCATTTATTAAACTGCAAAAAAATCTAGCATTAACTAAGCAATAAAAAGGCATTCCACTTTGAAGTTATCTTCCACAAATACAAAAAAATGCTTTATCAGATCACACATACAAATGTTGTACTGTACAGTTTTGGGGAGAAATGCAAATCTGGCCATGTAAAATGTTGCTAATAGTTTCTCTTTATTTATCCTTTCCATTTGTCCTTCATTATTTGATATTGCTGGATAGGACAAGAACCTAACATACAAATTAGCACCTTTGTTTTGTCTAATATTAACTTCTATTGCATTGCCAGGGAATAATCTCTATGGGGATGAGCTCAAGCAAGTTCTGGAAAAAATTAAGGACAGTTCTGAGAGGACTTCTTATATTCTCATGGATAAGATAAAGGTTCTCCCAACACTAAATTATTTATTGAGGGCTCATTGTCCACTGAAAGTATCAGAATGTGTGTCTGAATTGGGAATCTTTGGAGTTTATATCAGGTGAGAAACTGGCTGTAATTCCTAGAGATATTAAAATTTTACATTCCTACTTATCTATTTGTAAAAAATATATAGTTTTTTGCTAATACTTTGGATAAAATCTGCACATTGATTTCATAAGGAATAGTGATTATCTGGGAAGTATTTGTTCCTGTTGGCCCCGAAGAAATGGACAGTTCCTGGGTGTTGTTGAGTGCATGCACCTGTATGTTAGATCCATGCCCCTCCTGTTTCATGTAAGACCTTCCAGGAGGTAGCATGAGATTGGGTCTAAGCAATGGAGAATTCTTCCTTGAGAGGGGCTGGACCTACCTGCACTTCAGAATAAGTCAGGCCTGTCACCTTCTCATAAGTCTCATTGCTGGATTCAACTCTGGCCGTCTCCTTGTTGAGAACATGGTCAGGCTACAGTTTCAAAGGGCTCTAGCTGAGACATAATTATGTGAATCCCTTTCAGTTGGTTTTCCTATCTGAACATGATATGAAGACAACATTGATCACATTTGATGATGATTTGTCAGAAAAGCAGAATGAAATTGGTGCATCCAATCTATTCTGGTGGTTTGATAAAATATCCTTCTGAACCACCTCAGGGATTTGGGAATGGGAGGCATGGTATTGAGGTAGTATTCCTCCTTCCTCTTGAGTTCAGTTAGCATTAATGAAGGGAGAGAAAGTTGTAGCCGAAGACCCTTGTTTTGTGGAATATCTCAAGGCTCAGTTGTCTTCCCACTTCTGTTTCTGGACTGCTGGGTAAGGTCATACATCAGCACAGATGTTGATGACAGTTGTAAGAAGTTGACAGTAGGCTCCACTGTGTATCTTGTGATACTATTGTGTGAAAGCTATAAGGACTTGGATGGGGGGGGGGGAACAGACTCTACCCTCATAAGAGCTAGCGATTGTAGTACTCCCTGGATCCAGAGATTTCCTGGATAGGATCACCTCTCTTCAAGTAGAACTAGTAGTGCACAATATATGGGTCCTTCTAACTTATAGGCCCTGCTTATGACCACTCATGCATTGGGCATCTCAGAGAGATTACTACCATGTGCATTACATGGGGCTACCCTTGATTATCATTATCACTGCTATGAGCTTCCAGTTGCAATTGAAGGTACTGATTCTTACCTATAAAACCCTTCACGGCAATGGGCCAGGTTATTTTGAATGATTTCTGCTCAGCTATAAGATCCTACAGGGTTGGTGTATTTAGTTCCTATTTAGACCATATCTTCTGGGGAGGATGGAACAGCCGCCCCCTGAGGTTCATTAGCCCAGACTGCTTATCTTTGAAAGGTATTAAACATCTGTCCTTTTGCCAGTCATGGTCAAGGAGTAGCATGATTCTATTAGTTGAATTTTTCCTAATACTTTACATCAGGAGTAGTCAACCTTTTTATACCTACTGCCCACTTTTGTATCTCTTAGTAGTAAAATTTTCTAACCACCCACCAGTTCCACAGTAATTTATAAAGTAGGGAAGTAACTTTACTTTATAAAATTTATAAAGCAGAGTTACAGCAAATCCCTACCGCCCACCATGAAAGCTGGAACGCCCACTAGTGGGCAGTAGGGACCAGGTTGACTACCACTGCTTTACATCCTCTGTTTTTGTTCTTTTTGTAAATTATTTGTTCATTATATTGTTCTTACATAGATAGTGGATTGTTTATTGATAATGTATGACACTCTGAATCATGTGCCAAGTACAGAACTATATACGTATATATTGAAGTGAAATTTAATTTAGCACTTTAATAAAATATTTGGTGATAGAGCACACTTTGTATGCAAATAGTCACATTTTAGTTCTTGGCATCTGAAGCTGTGGCTTAAAGTATTATACTTTACTAGATACTATTATACTAGAGTCTCTAGAATTGTTCACAATAGACAACAGCAAGCTAAATAAACGAGTGATCCAAATCAACCTCCCGACTATAAAGATGAACTAGGTGCTAGAAGTCACCAGATGTTGCATTAAGCCATATACTTTAAATAAATAAATTCTTCCACTGCCTACAACTGAAATACCTTCATTGATATTATAAGAACACTAAAGTGTTTTGGCTTGCCATTGCAGAATTGTTGAGCAAGTATACATACACAAATGATCTGCTTAGAATCAAGCAGCTTTGCTTAATGGAACTCTAACAAGATTACAGATAAAAGGTTGAACAATGTTACATATACTTTTTTCCCCCTTGCAGACAGGGTCAAAAATTTGTGATGAACAAGCATGCGGGCCATCTCTTGAGAACAAAGGCTATGGAACATGCAGATGGTGGAGTAGCAGCTGGTGTTGCTGTCTTGGATACTCCCTATGTGATATAAAAAGGACACATTTTTAAAGGCATGATTGCCAAATAGCAGATTTTGTAATCAAACTTATAACAATTCTTTTTAATAATTTGCAGTCCTGCTCAGAAAATAGAGGATTCTAAATTACCTACATTGAAATTTTCTACTATATCCTGTCAAAGATAACACCTCATGGACCTAATATGCTTTTAACAATCATGGTCAACTGGCTGATAAGCATCTCCTGAAAGAACATGTGGATTTCTGATAGCAAAAAATATTATTGATAACTTTACATATTCAAGATGTAATTCTATTTTTCTCAAAGTAGCATTAAGGAATGAAATACTTTCAGAATTACATTTTTTGGGGGGAAACTTCCTGTTTCACTCTGTTTCTGCCTGAAAATGACCTGAGAACAAATAAGAATCGTGTATTCATGTTGGTTTTTATGGTGCTTTTGATGAGCTCCTTTGAAAGATGCACAATCACTAACATTCGGTAAAGGGACATAATAAAAAGCATAAAATCATTTCAGTTTCAATGATTCACTGCACCCATCCATGTTTTATAAAGCAACAAACCTAAGAAAAAGGTGAAAGGAGTGTTTAGTAGGAAATCATTTCAAAACCAGCTCTTAACATGCAAAACGTCTATTGCAGCCAGCTTTGCTAGAACTAATTTGAGCTAAAAATAATAGTGAAAGACTCATCAGTTCTGACTATCTCATGTCTGAGTAACTGATAGGTTACAAAAAAAATGTGTCAATACTTCTTGAAAAAAATAGCAAATGTGTAATAAGTTTAGAAAACAGATCATCTGATGTGAGGAACATATGTGTTAATGTAGTGTGTTTTTTAACTGAGATTCTTAAATCTCCAAATGCTGTGAAACAATGGAATTTGTCTTGTGGCAGAAAGCAGAATATTCTTCTTGTAATAGCATTGACCGTATACTATCTTTTCAGCCTTTCACACCTTATCACTTTGCTTTAGAAAGATGACATCTCTATATATGTCTCTTTTATTCAAGAGCACTATCTCACTTTGCACGTGGATATCTTGACTACAGCCTTACTCAGTGCATTTTAGAGGACAGCCCTGGAGAATTAATGGAGCTATATGAGGACATAAGCATTAAGAATCAGTGGAATAATTTTCTAAATAATATACTTGATATCGATTGGAAAATATTCTGAAAAATAATTGGTGACAATTATGTGTCTGCTACCCCCACTTTTCCTCCTAAGGTTCTAGCCTAGGACCAGTGGGGGTTTTATTAGCGGGGGGGGGGGGGCTCATAACATTCTGACCTGTTTACCAGTATTATATTTGTAAAGTTGGAAATATTTTATAGTGTGATATTTGATATGCAATGATAAATCCTACATTTTAACAAACCAGCAAGTCTAGTTACTGTCATCAGCATATATGAAAGACAGCAATTTGGTATGACTATATAGCCATGTATGGCCTTACTAAGTGTAAACTGTAGATTTATATAGTCACAATTTGAAAAAGAATAAGTGGACTTCAAATCTGAAGCTTTGAGTAGACAAATTCATAATCCACCAGTACAACCCTTCCATAATGCAGAAGAAATGTTACTGATTTTTGCCTGCATTTTCCTTTAGCTTTATTATGTAATTTAGAATCAACTACAAGTTAGTAGACCATTTTCACTATGTTTGAAGCAAATGAAATCAATAGATCACATTTTATATGCACTTTTATCTGCCCTTGTTGATAAAAGTTTACTGCAACCAATTAATAATAGATACCATAACAAGGATATGCTTTGGATTCAAAGCAAAAACACGCTCTGGGACACAGTGACATGTACACAACACAGCTTTGCAATTATTTAAAGCAGTCATCTCTTCTTGGGAGTGCATGGTTGATGTCTGCAACTGCAACACACGCCTAGAAAAAGATGTACTTGGTTTAGGAAGATGCAGCCAGATGATGGTACATGCGCCAAATCACCTGTTTGCCTCTGAATCCAAAGCAATGCACAACCCTTAGAACGAGTCCCAATTTGAAAACAGGTAGTCTTCAACTTACAACAGTTTAGTAATTGTTCAAAGTTACAACAGCACTGAAAAAAAGTCTTACGACCATTTTTCACAGTTACAACCATTCCAGCATCTCCATGGTCACATGATCAAAATTCAGCCCCTTGGCATTTTAGTCATATTTAAGGTACCCTTTGCTACCTTCTGAAAAGCAAAATCAATGGGGAAGCAAGATTTACATAACTGTTACTAAATTAACAACTGCAGAGATTCACTTAACAACTGTGGCAAGAAAGAGCATAAAATGGAGCAAAACTCACTTAACTGTCTCAGTTAGCAACAAACATTTTGGGCTCAATTGTGGTCGTAGGTTGAGAACTATCTGTAAAGAGTTTAATAAAAGTCTTATTTTATGGAACCAGTTATGCTGGGGCCTCTTTAGTAAACCCTTTACAAATGCAGACAGAAGAAACAATACCAGAAATGTTAAGCAGAACAGGCGAGAATCTTAGTTTATCATTCAAAACAAGGAACATAAAACACCAACTATTATTGTCTTATAGGCTTAATCTTTTTTAATTTATTCCAATTAAAACATTTTTCCCATTTCCCAACCATATTTATATCATTCTGCGTCCAAAAATACAGAATTTGTTTCAACAGCTCTTTAGTAAGCCACTGGCCTACTATCGGTGCTGTACAACATAGTTATATGCATATCAATGTTGCAGATCACACACAATACATTTAGACTACCACCAGCAGATTAAAAAATGAGAAATATACCCATGAGCAAAGATAAAGCAATGGTCACAGTAGTCAAATACACAGTATGAGGGGCATACAGTTGTAAGCTGTTTTAAGGAAAATGCAGACATCTTCAGGGATGCAACAACATGATTACCACAGGCAAAAAAAAAATGTTTCAGATAGTAAATAGCAGTTTCTAATATAAAAACATTCCAAGGTAAATAGCACTAAGTGCTGTAATGCCTTGGCAATTTTGAAACAAACCTTTCCCATCTTATACATTTATTAATCTGCAAGGATTAAAGAGTTTGTGTTTTCCTCACTTAAGTACCCATATCATATCTAAAACTAAATTTGATTTTGCCTTTGCTCTTTCAATGAGAACCACCCTAATTTCAAGAAGCAAGATTAATGAACTATGAGTAAAGTCATCTAACTGAAGAAAAATGTGTCTCTGCTGTTTGGTGGCCATTTTGTTTTGCTTCATAAGCAGCTTGACTTTGGTCATACACATGATCTACACAATGATCACATGGAGAAAACAGGATCAATTTGAGTAAATTTAAGTATCTCTGGAAGACTTTTCCTCAGCGTAACCAGGCACATTCCAACAGTCCAGAATCTCTGAATATATTTAGTTATTCATTTCCTTTACGTGATTGTGGAACACAAGCTGGTCACACAATGGCTTCCTTTAATATTTATAGCATCTGCTGCTCATCTGTTAATGAAAATAATAGATATATCTCCCCCAGATTCAACTGGCATTTACATTGCACCAAATATTTCTAGCCAAAAAAAAAGAGCACCTCCCTCTACAGAATATCTAGGCAAACAGCACAGCTTTAATGAGTAGGACAGCTGACGTTGCATCCATCATGGAACAATATACTGCAAAAATTCAAATGTGTGCATTCAAGCACACAAGCATTTTTTAAAATTAGAATCTGTAGATAGTGTTATTCCTTTGGGAGAACAAAAAAGTATAATAATCCTTTCCAGTCTACATTTCAACAGAGATAACACTGGAAAAATAATTTTACACAGCTTCATATTTGACAGTTTTCTTTAAAATGTCTCATTTCCTATGCTGTGCAGCTGGGGCACTCAGGATAATTTTTGTTAAAACAAATGCTTAATTGTTAAAATATGTATTTCAGTAATACTGCCTCAACATGAGGATTACTGCTTAATCTATTAGTTCTCAAGCCTTTTAAAGGCTCATAACTACAGCTCAGGAGGAAAGCCTCTTCATACCAGCATCTGCATGTTCTAAGCTCCACCAATTATAGCATGTTAAGTGTAAAAATAAAAATAATTGAAATATTGGGTGAATGAGACTGAAATTTCATATGTGGAGTATTGGACTATAAAATAACACACACAGTGCTAGAGGCACAAAGCTAGATTTACAACATGAAAGGACTGGATGTTGGAGCACCAGTTTGTCTTCTCTTCAGGATCTTCTATTCAGAGCAGCACACAGCAATTTCCCATCTCAAGTCATTGTCTCTCAGGGGCCATACTCTCATCAAATTCTTGCATTTCTGCTATTTTAGTAGGGTAGCCCCGCTACATTATTGTCTCACACCTGTTACTGAAAAGATGGTTTATAACTGCTGGATCTGCCACTGTTGAGGTATCGCCCAGTTCCCGGTCATTTTTTGCAATCTTCCTTAATACCCGCCGCATAATTTTACCTACAAAAAAAAGTACAATTTTTAAGTTGACTTTGATTATGAGAAAGAAATGAGGGAATTGATTAATTATTAATCCTGTACAGATAATAATTTGTGGCCCTCTAAATCTGTCATGCAAAGAAGCTGGAGTCAAATGATTCGCAAAACAGTAAGATTTATGCAGCTGTGATTCTAGACAATTAGAATACATTCACAAATCCAATTTGACACATAATGGATACATCCAGGGACTATGGATCTTAAAATAATGAGATTCCAAACTGAGATACCAATGTTTGAATTTTTGGGGGGCCTTGTTGTACAAATATGTTTTGCCAAAATAATAATCACTGTTGTAAAAAGATATACTCTGGCCAAAGCAACTTCGGCCTCGTCCTGTAATAGATATACACACCTACACATAGCTTGTAACACATGTGCCTTTAGTTCAGTAAGTATGTATGTGTGCAAATAAAATGACTGTCTAATTTACAAGCTGTAAATTTACAGATTAGTTGCCCATTAATTTCTAAAGATTTAAATTCTTACACTGATTCCTGAAGCACAACAACAAATATAGCATTTAGTAGCTAGCAAGAGCCTGCAATATACAGTAACAGGTATCAAAATCAAAACATACCTGAGCGGGTTTTGGGCAGGCCAGGAGCATTCTGGATATAATCTGGAGTTGCAATAGGACCAATCTTTTCTCTTACTGCAAATAAGAAAATGACTGTTTAGTTCCTATGAACAAAAAAAAGGAGTATTTTTTTTTAAAGTCATGTTTAGAAAAGTCATTTGACCTCTTCTATGAGATGGTTGATAATGGGGGTCTTGTCTCTATTTAGATATGTTCAGTCTCAGAACTGCAATCTACCATTAGAGGATGATACATATTCTTCTATACAACACACAGGGATTCCATAACATACGTTATAGTTGTCATGGGAGCAAATATGTGTAACTCAGAGGTGGCACATTGCCTGGCTTCTTGTGGCAGTCCCTTAAATATTTGAATTACATGTCTATAACCCAAAAACCAAGTTCAAAAAACTCAAGCAAGGCAACGTGCCACCTCCGAGTTACACATATTTGCTCCCATTACAACTGTAATAATGTATGTTATGGAATCCCTATCAGTGGTGGGTTTCAATTTATTTTACTACTGGTTCGCTCGTGCGCTCACTTGCACACTCATATGATGCTTCTGCGAATGCACAGACGTTTTTGCGCATGTGCAGAAACATCTGAGTGGATGGGCGGAGCCTCCTGCCACCGCCACTACCGGTTCGCCTGATCCCGGGCGAACCAGCAGAAACCCACCTCTGATCCCTATGTGTTGTATAAAATTTGGGAGGTGGAGGTGTTTACATCTGGTGATAGTTCCCCTGGAGCCCTGGCCAAGCCTCTTCCTATATGACCTTGGATACTCCCACTCTCACAAGCTCTTGCAGTTACAAATGCAAGATTAAAAATCTTAGAAATCCAAATGGAAATGTATTTCCTAGGAAAATCTTCCCCATTAAAATGCTTTCAAATGGCACAAGTATTTTTCAGAAATTATTTTTAACTGGAAAGGGACTACTCAGTAGTTACTTATCCCCAAAAGACTATTGTAGGAAAAAGAAATGCTAGCAATTCTTTCTCTCTGCATATTAAGAAATAGCAGAATTATGTAAAAGTCCTGGGCCAGATAAACACCAAGTATGCCAATGCATTCTTTACTTGCTGACAGTTGGAGAGTCACTATGTACACACTTTTTGCAGAATTCCCACCGTGTTTATGGGTGTACAGTGTGCTCTTAAGTACTGAAAGTGGATGCCAGCTGGCAGCAAGGGCATATCTTGAAAGGCAAGGACTAAATTTAGTTTTGACAGAACCAAAAGGTGTCCTTTTGATTTGAAAAGTACTCTTTCAGCCAGACTGAGGAACAAGGCATTCTGATAGACATGGATTTTTCCCACAAAAGCCACAGCAAAGCTCATGTGTAACCATGGAATAGAGACCAGTACATCCATTACAGGACTTCCCTTTTTGCTATACGTGTTGATGCTATAACAGCTCCACTAATGGGGGAGACATTTGATTCCATAAAATATCAGACTGAGCTTGCATAATTTACATATCAAAGGTCCCACGTGATATTTAATTGATTCTTTTATTAGATTGGTAGAGTTTTTTTCAAGGCTGGGATCCAGAATTCTGGCAAACCCCCAAATTTGGCAATGCTGGCTAGGAAGCTGCAGCTTTGAAAAATCTGAATTTGTTATGTTTAACCAGGAGAAACTCTAGTAATCTAACTAGATTACGCTCAGACTTGAATACAGAGATGGGCATACCATAGCCTTCCCATAAAATAGAAATCCCAACCTTCCCCATTACTGGCGCTGCTGCAAATTAATTTCTGCAAGATCTAGAGGATCACAAATTGTTCATTCCTGCTACATTCTATATTCAGGATCCTTGTGTCCTATTTCCCACAATCTAATAGTTTTTTTATAAGTCTATCTGGATCGATGTACAACTTTCAGCGTGCTTCTCTCACGTCAGTCAATACAATTACCTTGTTTCTTCAGCTCATCAATCAGTTTGTTTGTGAAATCATGTCCATCCTTCAGAGTCACAAAACAGTAGAGGCATTCTCCCTTTACAGGGTGTGGGTGGCTAACTACGGCTGCCTCCGAGATCGAAACATGCTCCACAAGTGCCGATTCAACCTCCGCTGTGCTCAGTAAATGCCCTACAAAAAAAAACCCAAGAAACAGTTTTTTTCTAAAATTGGTTGTGCCCCACCATTTTTTTCTTTTTATATAAAACCAGTATATTATTGAATCAAGCTATAGATCAAAATGTAAAGCATAAAGCTGGTCACATTTTTTAATTAATTCCTTTGTTTTCTTTTCTTTATTCTTAGGAAATTATCATACTGTAAACGTTCGAAAATAAAAGTTGAGGTTATAAAATGTTGACACTAAAGAAAAGCCGATTTTATAGAGAATGAGAATTTATAGTTGTACAATACAGAATAAAAGTTAGCAATATTAGTAGGCACTTCCATTTCTCCCAACAGTGTTTAATAGTCTGCCATTAAGATAATCCATAGCTTCTTGAGGCATGGCACGGCTTACTAGGATTTTATTTTTAAATAGGTAATATTAATTGTATAATTATAATTTTAGTATATTCTATGGCAGCTTTCTTCATATTTGTATTTGTGAGGTACAAATAAAGGATAACCTTTAGGCTTCTTGGAGGAAATAAAAATATATCAAATAATATTAGGATATATAAATATAAAAATATAAGTTATGTACAAATTATGCTACACGCAATGTATAGTTGTGTGCTCTAGACATGTAAGTAAAAAAACCTCTTTATTGGTTCACAATTTTAAGGACATAAGCATTTATTTCTTGCCATTTTTATTTTGTAAAGACTGGCTGATGTCCCAGTAAAACTATCAACATCAAATTACTTAAATTTGTTCATGTCCTGATTTAGTTTTTCTGGTAGGACAAAGGGTGAATACTGGATATTTTTCTCTCTTATCATGGGTTGTATTCTCCAGCAATGACCAAACACAGTTCCAAACACATTTCTTCTTTCTTATTTGAAAAAAAACACACATCAACTTTGGGGTGAAGACCAAGACCAAGGTCTAAAGATGTTAAAAATTTTATTATGTCAACAAGATAGTTGTGCAAGCAACTTTTATCCTTCCATAAGAATTTGGCTCTTACCAGAAACATTCAGCATGTCATCAATTCGACCTGTGATCCAGTAATAACCATCTTTATCTCTCTTGCAGCCTGCAAAATAGACAAAATTAAAGCCCTGTAGACTTTAAGTTCCTCTCAATCTTTGCCCTTCCATTTTTCAGCCCTTGTATCTGAGTCTGTAATGAATGTGAAGAAATCCCAGGCCAAGAGGTTCAGACCCAGAAGAATTTATAATCAAACCTAAATCATTCATACTATTTAATCCAACAGTTTGGGAAAATCAAATTCTAAAAAAAAACTTCTGAGATTTAAACTCCTTTGGTTATTTCATGGGGTGAGCTGAATTGTGTCTTTGAAACAAAAGTTCTCATTGGCACGGGTGTGTGTGTAAAATATTGATTGTAGGTGTACCTCTACCCAAAATAGTAGCCACTGCATGATTCATGATATTTTTCTTTTTCTTTTCCCTCATTTACTATTAAATTAATTTATTAACTTTTATGTACACCATGTATTATCTTCTGGAATTACTATTCATATCCAGTATTTCTTTGCTGATCTAATAAACTTGAGAAAGGGTAAGGAAGTTGAAATCAGAAATTTACACACTTCCTTCTGAGTAAAAATGGACAAAGAATTGACTTTATCAAGGAGTGGCTTATGGAAGCCTACCCAAGAGGATCTCACCAGGAGCGTGAGAGGTGAGATAGTAAAGATTATGATGGGAAAGGCTGAGAACTCTGCTTGAAGAGACTTGAAAAGCTAGTCAAGTGATTGCATGCATTAGAAAATGTACTTCATTTCAGGGCTGTGAATAGTATCTTTAAAAAGCTGAACTCTATAAAAGAGTTCTGCTTTAGAAGAATTCAGTTGTAACTGCTGGAAACTGAGGAGGTCATAGTAGAAAAGTACATTTATGGGAACTTTTAACACGGTTAAATATTTCTAAATTAATCAGGAAGTAAGTTTCATAAGATAATATTTTTGAGTCAAAGTTCCTTTGTGAAGACTTACCATCTCCAGTCACATAATAACCAGGAAACTTTTGGAAGTAGGTTGCCTCAAACCGCTGCTGGTTTTTGTACACTGTGCGCATTATTCCAGGCCAGGGTTGCTTAAAAACCTAAAAAATGATTATGGGTGAGAAATGTGAGGAAAGTAGAAAACTTCACTGGCTAAGTTCAAGCAAAATACAAAGTATAATGTGATTTATATGATTATATGATTCAGATGTACTATGTATGAACCCAAATAGTTGGGTTGTAAATCATGGTTAATGTTTTAGCCCTCTCTGATCCACGCAACTGTAGTTTGTTCCACATACCATATTTTTGGTATGACAAAAAGAATAGCCCAAGTTCCCAACTACATGTCATCATATTAAGAAAGTACTTGGACAGAGGTCTGCTTGATGTCAAAGCACAGAATTAAAACAAACAAAACAATACAGTATACTGACAAATATTTCACTGTTCAGGAATGCAGCAGTGATAGGCCTTGGAATGTTTCATATTGTCCCCATCTGATTTTTAGAAACGTATTATTTTATAATTTTAGGTGATAGCATCATGAATAAATATTAACACAAACAATAAGGACTAGTCTACTCTGAAGTCAAACTAATAACTAAGTTCAGAAACAAGAATGATACCATATCAGATAAACAGAAATGTGGTAATCAGACCCAGAGGCTGGATAGCTCCCAAGCAACTTTGTCCTCCAACCTCACCCTGTTATTTTTCAGCTACTGGGCACCAGTCTATTCTGCAGGGATATCCATGATCTCCTACTCCTGATAAAAAGTGTGGGTAAAAAGCCATGCAAATTAACCCAAGTAGACAAAGTGTACTGTGTCCACTTTTAGAAAGCAACCTGAACTTCCTAAACCCTCCCTCAAAACTATACGTAGTGCTGAACAGAGCCAAAATATCCGTGGTATAGAATCCCATAACTGGATGTATTATTATTGATTGGTATGTTTAAATAAAAGCTGTGCTCAAACACTGGAGGAGAAAGAAGTGATGTCTTCTATACTTATTTCCTCACTGAAATCTTCCTGTAGTTTATCCTACAATTAAACAGTTACTAATCCTGACAAATTGGAAAATACAGAAGTTTATGAGGGACAATTTGAAGCAAAACAGTCTTCATTGCATGACTACTTGTAACGTGTATTTTTTTAAAAAAAACAGAACCAAACGTAGAGTTCTCTCATCAGCATCCATTCAGGATCTCAAAATGCAGTAAGGAAACTGAGTTAAGCACAAACAGTCCAGGCAAAACTTGCTATGAACTTGGAATTTGAGCCATGAAACTCCATATAGTGAATACATCATGCTATCCATCATCATCATCATCATCATCATCATCATCATCATCATCATCATCATCATGTTCTCTTACCAGATAACCTTCAGCTTCTCCTTCTAACTCTTCCCCGGATTCATCCAACACTGCAGGGACCACTCCAAAGAAAGGAAAAGTCTGTCCAGAAATATTTTTTAGAAAGATTTTAAAGATCAAATCTAATCCTTACAGACAGATGGCAGCTAGACTCGAAAGGAACTTCAACCTAGAACTGAAGACATCCCCTTTATATCTATTTATACAATAGGAATGGCAACCTTGTTCAATCTGGAGGCTGCAAAGGAGATTCCTGGAATGTGTAGCCGAAAAAGGTGAATTAAAGATATTCAATCTTTTTTTAAAATGTGGCTGAAGGGAGTTTAAAGAGGAAACTTGGTACTTGAGTCTTGCAGAAGTTTGCCACAGAAAAGAGAGCTGGAAACACCAAGTAAGCTATACATGGCTTACAGTCCACCTGTGCAGTTATATCAACAGATTTCCAAGGATTTCTTTTTAAAAAACTTCTGTAGCTTTAGCATTAAGTTCAGATTTCAGGGTGGATTTCAGGAATTAACCCTTTTTTTCTTTAAAGACTACTCATTCACTTAATTGATTTATATGACTGCCCATTTTGCAAATGTGGCCACAGATGGCCAACAAAATTTAAAAACCATACAACCAAAGGACCAGGAAACAAATAAAACATGAGACAAGCATGCTATGGCAAATGAGAAAACCAGCAACCAATCCACTTGTGGTCAAGTAACTGACCACATGGGTAAAGACAACTGGAAAAAGATGGCCCCTAAAATAACCCATGAAATACTTTATAGGTAGCCCTCAACTCATGATTGCAATTAGGACTGGAATTTCCAACACTAAGCAATACAGTCCTAAAGCACAATTGTGTTGTCTAAACAATGCATCCCAATTGCATGATTAACTGAATCCCACATTGTGAGGCAGCTTTCTGGCAGTTTCCCACAGCCAAGTCAATGGAGAAGCCAGCAGGAAATTGAAAGTCACTGGTGGCTCACAAGCAGGCTGGCAAATAGAGGTGTCTGCTGTCAAATTGGAAGAGCACAAGGGGGTGTGCAAGGGGAAGCAGAACAAGGCTCAGTGGGAGTGTGCAGGGGGTGATGAAGATTTGGCGAGGGTCAGGGAGGGTGTAAGAGAAATAGGCACATGGGGGCACAGGAGTGTGTGGTGAGGTCTGGAACTGCGTCTGAGGGTACATGGAGGTGTGTGAGGCTGCAATGAAGATGTGGTGAAATTCAGATAGGCAACACAAGAGTGCGGAGAGGTAACGTTAAGGAGGATGCACACCCGTTTGCATTGTGGGGCGTATCGTGATGTATTGGGATGTTTTTTGCCTTTGCTGAGCTGGGGTGGGCGTGGCCATATCCAGCTCATGAGCCGCCAGTTTCACAGGCCTGGGCTAGGGCAAAACAAGCACGGAGTGCTTGGGGAGGATCCATAGGTGGATGAGACTAATCCCAGGAACTTGCAACTTTCCTTGCCAGCTACCCTACTGACTTATATATATGAATGTCTGTGTATATCATCCCTCCTGGTCCAGATAGGGGCACAATTGGTACACAAGATAAAGCTGTACAATAACCCTCCTGCATACAAAGCGAATATGCCAGAACTATACTTACAGCTGAGCCTGGCTTCATAGGTGTGGCATAAGGGAGAGGAGTCAACACATGGCCACCCTGCAGGAAGAAACCAAAACAGCAATGAAACAGTTAAACCAATGAAAAATACCTCACACAATGTTTTCAGAGCCTGAATTGAATGAACACAGACGTTTATTCCAGACATTACCACCATCATCATTTCAATTTTCATTTTTAAAACATGCATGTCTCTTTTATTGTATTTAAACCAAGAAAGCATAAAAAGCGCCATGAAGGCTATACAAGGAATAATTCTTGCCTAGCACAGCAGAGGGAGAGCTTGGGTAGTGAAAGAAAGAGAAAAAACAAATTCTAACAGGATTTGGGATCTTGAGGGATTCTAATAGGATTTTGGAAACCTTGATGGTAAGGAGAAGTTGTCATTGCTTCGGGAAGAGACTACGTGGCACAAATAAGCAGCAAAGGAATGGCGTCTACATTATGACATGCTGTAATGAGTAGGCAAGTTTGAAATCCAGGCCTTGGAGAACAAGGAATCATAAGGATAATAAGAAAGCTGAATATGAAGAACTCACAGTTTCTGTTTGCCAGAAGGTATCCACTATAGGGCATCGTTCTTCACCAACTACCCTATAAAACCACAACCAAGCTTCTGGATTTATGGGTTCTCCAACTGTTCCCAGCACTTTCAGGGATTTCCTGCTGTATCTGAATCAACAGGGTATAGGTTTTAAAAAGAAAATTGTTCCAGAAGGAAAACTTGTTTTACAATTTGATTTCAAAGCTAGCCATTTACCATTACTGAATAAACAAGAACATTTTCAGAAATCCACAATGCCTTTACCTAGTCAAAAGTGGATTTAAGTAAAGCAGAAACACATTAACTATTCTTTACATAAGCAATTTACCGTATTTTTTGGAGTATAAGATGCACCCAGGTTTTGAAGAGGCAATTTTTTTTAAAAAAAGTAGGTAGGTAGATAGAGGGATAGTGAAGGAGAGAAAGAGAGAGAAATACAGTAGGTAGCTAGGGAGAGAGAGTAGATAGGTAGGTAGGTAGATAAAGGGATAGAGAGAGAGAGAGAGAGAAAGAGAGAAAGAGAGAAAGAGAAAGAGAGAAAGAGAGAGAAATACAGTAGGTAGAGGGAAAGAGAGAAATAGAGAGAGAGATAAAAAATACAGTAGATAGGGAGAGAGGGAGGGAGGGAGGGAGGGAGAGATTAGGTAAGTTGGTAGGTAGAGGGATAGAGAGAGAAAAATAGAGAGAAATACAGCAGTAGGTAGGGAGAGAGAGGGAGTAGATAGGTAGGTAGGTAGGTAGGTAGGTAGGTAGGTAGGTAGGTAGGTAGGTAGGTAGATGTTTCCAGGTGCATTTATCCATGTGCTGGAGAAGGAAATCGCTGACAACCTGTAGCACCTAAAACTTGATTTCTGCTGGCACAGCACTTGACCAATGTAATTCTCATCAATCCCTCTAACTAAACAGCTTTCTGAAGGGAGGGAAAAAAAGTTTTTGCACTTTGCAAACCTCCCCAAAACAGCCCGTTTTTTGCAAAAATTGGCCCATTTTTTTTTTAAAGGCATGAATAGCCTGGTGGGGTGGGCTTGCAGAGTGCTCCTGGGGGGTTGGGAGGGCCAAAAATGAGGAAAAAAAACCAGCCCATTTTTTGCAAAAACGGGCCCTTTTTGGGAGGTTTGCAGAGTGCAAAAACTCCCCCCTCTTTTGGAAAGCTCTTTAACTGATTGATGAGAATTACATTGATCAAGTGCTGTGCCAGCAGTAACAAAGTTTTAGGTGCTATAGGTTGTCAGCGATTTCCTTCTCCAGCACATGGATAAATACACCTAGAAACATCTACCTACCTACCTACCTACCTACCTACCTACCTACCTACCTACCTACTTACCTACTCTCTCTCTCTCTCCCTACCTACCTATTGTATTTCTCTCTCTCCCCCTCTATCTACCTATATACCTACCTACCTT